GGGGGGGAGAGGCTGGCGGGCCCCGGAGAGGCATGTTGGGCCACGGCGTTGGCGGGACGACGGCTCCTGCTGTGCAGGCATGTCCGAGGGTGCTGGTAAGTCACAAGGAAGTTTAAAACCACTGGAGCAAACGGATTTAAGGTCAATTTGAGTCAGGTACAATTAGTGCAGCCCCAAGAACGTTTACTTGAGAGTTGTAGCTAGAGAAACAACCAAGAACGTTTACTTGAGAATTGTAGCTACAGAAACAAAAAGATGGGTAGAGGAAAAATACTCCCAGGCACCCTGAGGCCTCCCCCAGCCCCAGGCATGGACTGTGGGCCCCAGCCAACCCGGGCACCAACTGATTGAAACCCCTACTGAGCCTTGCTGAGCCTCACGCCCTCCTGTAGAGCTGCCCCAAAGCCATGGGGCTCCCCAGACCAGTATGTGTGAGTGGGTCCTCCGTTGCCTCTGACATCCACATGCCAGACACTTGTATGCTGCACAGGGCTCTGGATGTCTCCAGCAGTGGCACAGCAGCCTGATGCCTCTTCTTGTCTGGGACATGGGGTCCTTTACAGCTCTTCTGGGATATGGGGCTCTTGATGAGGTCCCTGTCGCCTTTTCGGGCATTCCCTATGAGCTCGTAGATCCCTCTTCCTCCTCCCCTCTGGTGGGGGGCGAGACTGGTGGCTCCTCCTGCAAAGCTGACAGCCACATGCAGAGTAGGGGTTATGTCAATCACCCTGAAAGCCTTCAAGAAGCGATCCAAACATCTGATACCTCGTGGCCTCATCGGTCTTTTTGCTTTGTTTGGAAGGGCAATCCACCGAAGGAGGGCATCGTAAAGAGAAGAAGCCTAGACCTAGCGATCCAGTTGTTCACTTTGGTCATTGCTTCTGAGGCAAGCATCCAATTATAGGAGGACTCTACGAGGTGTATTAAAAAGGTAATAGGTTCGAAACAGAGGCAAGCATGTTAAATGCTATCATCCTTCCATGCAGTTAAAAATTGAGAGAATTGTGGGTTAGGCATGTGTATACAAGGGTTTGAGAAAGGATACTGGACAGTACGGTAATACTGAACCAGAATAAATGTAATGTTTCATGGCAGATGGTGTAGGTAACTATTAGGTGATGTGCCTGCCTGTCTCATAACTTAGCTCTAACTGCTGTATGTAATGCTTCCAGACAGTTTACCCTGTAATGTATGATGGCAAGTGCTGTGCTAAGACCTTTCCTTTAAGGAAAAGAAAAAAGAAAAAGAACATGCATAAGTCTAGAGCCTTTAATTGAAAGGAACATGCAAATTTATCCGTTTGTTATAGAGATGGAAACAATGCTAGCAAATGCTGACAAAGAGAAAAGATAGATGAGCAGTTTTTTGTGATTAATACGTAAGGGACCAGATGAAACAAGGAAGCAAAAATGCAGCAGACCCTTGATGTCACCAGAAATTGCTACAGCAGGAGGTGTTCTGGCACAGGTAACTAGGGTAACTGCTGATAATGAGCGTTTGTTATTTCAGTCTCCCAGAGGCAGGACTGAGGACTAAATAAGCCATTTCTACCATGTGGATATTGTTAACTGTATCTGGCTTAGCTGAGTTTTGCTTTGGTCATTCCTATTTTGTTTTGTTATCATATATGCATGCATAAAAAGGGAATGACATAATACTTACTTTTTAGATTAATTGCCACAGCTGATGTTGTGGAAACAGTTTGTCCTACTGTCATTTAATTAAATAATTAATTTTGCTGTTATATGTGCGTGAGACTCTGCTCCTCCTAAAACTAGGGTCGAGCTGTTTCCACAACAGGTGGCCGGGTGCCTGAGCGAGTCTGACTGTACGTGAGGGATGCTGTGACATCCTTGCAATGAAACGGAGTCAGAGAGAATGACTGAAGCAGTGTAGAGGGTCAGTCATAATTGTGGGAACCCTTACAGGCCTTGGACTAGGAAGTAGTTCTAGGAGGGCTGTGCAGTTGCCTGGCCTCTCAGTAACTGTTCTGGCCTCTTGGCAGGTGCTGAAGCGTGGTCTGGCAGTCGAAGGAACAGTGTCAAAGCTGGGAGCTCTGCAGAGACCTGCAGCTAGCCGTGGAGGACAAGCTCTGACTTGCAGCGTGGACACAGCTAAGTCCTGGGGCTGCATTTTATGTGAGCAGGGCTGGGAGGTGGAAGGCAGCTGTCTCCGAGGTGGTTACTGGTGTCACTGGCTGAGGATGTTTGCCCATGGAGCTGAGGGGACCAAAAATATTAGTTGTCTGTAACGGAGATGAATTAGTGCTTGCAGTGTTTCAGATAGGTTCACTGGAAGCGCAGCTTAGTGCAGGCCTGTGGAGTGGTTCTCGCATGTGGTCACGTTTGAACGGTGGCTAAAACCACCATTTTACAGCATAAACAGCAACTGCATGATTCTGGTGTGCATCTTCCTGTTCTGCTGCACTTCTAAATGAAGGGGAAACTTCTTAAGCTGCGGGCAGAACGCCTTGGCTTCTCTTCACTGGTCTCATGCTTATGTGTGCTTTGGTGTTTCTTGCTTAAAGCTGAGGGTTAGAAGTTTTTCACTTAAGGTTTACTGTTTAGTTTGTTGTTCAGGGTCTGTCACTCAAGGGTTATGGTTTGTTACTTTATTTTGTGGGGCTGTCTTTATCAGTCAGGGTTTACAGTTTACTAACGTAGCGATCAGGGCGCAGGATTTAAAATCCAGCCTCATCCGTAAATTTTAAAGCCTCTGCAACCATTCAGGTTCCAAGATTTGCAGTTTGTCACTTAGGGTTCAGGGCTTACGCCTTGCTGATAAACGACAAGGGCTGAATCCTTAGGTAATAAACTGAAAGCCCTGAAGCCTAAGCAGCAGGCTGCGAACCTTTCTTTGGGGCTTGTAACCTTCCCCTGCACCCAGCGCTCAGCTTTGTGCACTGACCTGACGTTTGGATTTGATACAGTGGAGGCGTAACACAGAGTGGTGGTGTGACAGGTGAGTTGAGAGCTGTGAAAGTGTCCTGCAGGGCTCCAGTCTGGGGTAGGGCAGTAGTGCAGACAGGCAAGATCAGAGATCAGGCATTTTCCTCTCACCTGTCAGAGCCAAATCCTATCCCTGAAGGAAAAAGCCCAGGTGAGTTGAGAGCTGTGAAAGTGTCCTGCAGGGCTCCAGTCTGGGGTAGGGCAGTAGTGCAGACAGGCAAGATCAGAGATCAGGCATTTTCCTCTCACCTGTCAGAGCCAAATCCTAGGTACCGAGCTCCATGGCAGACTCTCTCCCAGGTGTTTCTGTGCAGTAAAACAATAAACAGTTGCTTTATTCTTTGCACACGTATCTGTGGTTCCTGCTGTCGCTTTGGCTAAAAATGATGCCCGGGGAGGAGGCTGCACATTGCGTCTGGGGTTGGGAGCTGGTCCCCAAGTCCCTTGTACTTTGGAGTCCTTGCGGTTCCCAAGGAACCCAGTGCTGTTCACAGGGCTACGGGGAATTTCCCTTGCGTTGCCTGGACCCTCGGGGCTCTTGGTGGTGTTTCCCATCACCCTGGGGGCAGCCAGGGCCCCCCAGGGCTGTGTGAGGTCCCCAGACTGCTCCTGGGTTTTCTCTCAGCACCCTGTGATGTCCCTCCC